GCATCAAATGTAAGTGGTTTTGTCGTTGTCATCTTCCTCCGCTTATCCGGGTCCGGGTCGCGGGGGCAGCATCCCAGCTAGAGAGATCTAGACCGTCCTCTCCCCGGCCTTCTCCACCAGCTCCTCCGGCAGGACCGCAAGGCGTTCCCGGATCAGATTGGAGATGTAACCTCTCCAACGTGTCCTGGGTCGACCCAGGGGCCTCCTGCCGGCAGGACATGCCCGAAACACCTCCCCGGGGAGGCGTCCAGGAGGCATCCTGACCAGATGCCCAAACCACCTCGACTGGCTCCTTTCGATCCGGAGGAGCAGCGGTTCTACTCCGAGTCCCTCACGAATGTCAGAGCTCCTCACCCTATCTCTAAGGCTGAGCCCGGCCACCCTATGGAGGAAACTCATTTCGGCCGCTTGTATCCGCGATCTCGTTCTTTCGGTCATTACCCAAAGCTCATGACCATAGGTGATGATTGGGACATAGATTGACCGGTAAATCGAGAGCCTGGCTTTCTGGCTCAGCTACCTCTTCACCATGACTGATCTGCTTAGCGTCCGCATCACTGCAGATGCCGAACCAATCCGCCTTTCGATCTCCCGATCCCCCCTACCCTCACTCGTGAACAAGACCCCAAGATACTTAAACTCCTCCACTTAAGGTAGGACCTCTCCCCCGAACCGGAGTTGGCAAGCCACCCTTTTCCGGTCGAGAACCATGGTCTCAGATTTGGAGGTGCTGATCGTCATCCCAGCCGCTTCACACTCGGCCGCGAACCTACCCAGCAAGAGCTGAAGGTCAGAGCTGGATGAAGCTAAGAGGACCACATCGTCCGCAAAAAGCAGAGACGAGATTCTCCTGCCACCAAACTCGACACACTCCACACCACGGCTGCGCCTAGAAATTCTGTCCATAAAGGTAATGAACAGAACCAGAGACAAAGGGCAGCCCTGGCGGAGTCCAACCCTCACCGAGAACAGGTCCGACTTACTACCGGCTATGCAGACCAAACTCACGCTCCTCTGGTAAAGGGACTGAATGGCCCTTAACAGAAAGTCACCCACCCCATACTCCTGGAGCGTTCCCCACAGGGTGCCCCTGGGGACACGGTCATAAACCTTCTCCAAATCCACAAAACACATGTGAATTGGTTGAGCAAACTCCCATGCCCCCTCCATCACCCTTGCAATGGTATGGAGCTGGTCCATAGTTCCACGGCCAGGACAAAAACCACACTGCTGCTCCTCAATCTGAGATTCAACTATCGATCGGACCCTCCTCTCCAGTACCTTGGAGTAGACCTTTCCAGGGAGGCTGAGGAGTGTGATCCCCCTATAGTTGGAACACACCCTCAGGTCACCGTTCTTAAAGATGGGGACCACCACCCCGGTCTGCAAATCCACAGGAACTGCCCCCGATGACCATGCAATGTTGCAGAGACGTGTCAACCATGACAGCCCTACAACATCCATAGCCTTGAGATACCCAGGACGAACCTCGTCCGCCCCCGGGGCTCCGCCGCTGTGTAGTTGTTTGACTACCTCAGCAACTTCTGCCCCAGAGATTGGGCAGTCCATCCCCAGGTCTCCCGGCTCTGGTTCCTCCTCGGAATGCGCATAGGTGGGATTGAGGAGCTCCTCAAAGTATTCCTTCCACCGCCCGACTATAGCCTCAGTTGACGTCAGCAGATCCCCATCCCCACTGTAAACAGTGTGAGCGAGTTGCTGCCTTCCTCTCCTGAGGCGCCGGACAGTTTGCCAGAACCTCTTTGGAGCCGATCGATAGTCTTTCTCCATGGCCTCACCAAACTCCTCCTACGCCTGAAATTTTGACTTGGCAACTGCCACTGCTGCACCCCGCTTGGCTATCCGGTGCCTGTCTGCTGCCTCCAGAGACCCACAGACCAGCCACACCCTGTAGGCCTCCTCCTTCAGCCTCACGGCTCCCCGAACCTCTGGTGTCCACCATCGGGTATGGGGTTGCCACCACGACTGGCACCGGCCACCTTGCGACCAAAGCTAGCAACAGCCGCCTCAACAATCGCAGAGTGGAACAAGGCCCACTCGGAGTCAATGTCCCCCACTGCTCTCAGGATGTGGTCAAAGCTCTGCCGGAGGTGGGAGTTGAAGACCGTCTTAACAGGTTCTTCTGCCAGGCGTTCCCAGCAGATCCTCTATATGCATTTGGGTCTGCCAGGTCTACGCGGCATCTTCCCCTGCCATCTGATCCAACTCACCACCAGGTGGTGATCAGTTTACAGCTCCGCTCCTCTCTTCACTCGGGTGTCCAAAACACATGGCCGCAGGTCAGATGACACGACTACAAAGTCTATCATCGACCTGCAACCTAGGCTGCCCTGGTACCAAGTGTACCGATGGGCATCCTTATGTTCGAACATGGTGTTCGTTATGGCCAAGCTGCGGCTTGCACTGAAGTCCAATAACGAAACACCACTCGAGTTCAGATCAGGCGGGCCGTTCCTCCCAATCACACCCCTCCAGGTCATGCTGTCATTGCCCACGTGAGCATTGAAGTCCCCCAGCAGGACAATGGAGTCCCCTGATGGAGCACTATCTAGCACTCGTCCCAGGGACACCAAAAAGGGTGGGTACTCTGAACTGATATTTGGCCCATAAGCACAAACAACAGTCAGGACCCGTTCCCCGACCCGAAGACGCAGGGAAGCTACCCTCTTGTCCCCCGGGGTAAACCCCAGCACACAGGCAGAGAGTCTTGGGGCTAACAAAAAGCCAACCCCAGCCCTCCGCCTCTCACCCAGAGCAACTCCAGCAAAGGAGAGTGTCCAACCCCTCTCCAGGTCTCGGGTTCCAGAGCCAATGCAATGTGTCGAGGTGAGTCCGACTATATCTAGCCGGTACCGCTCAACCTCTGCCACAAGCTCCTGCTCCTTCCCCGTCAGCGAGGTGATGTTCCATGTCCCAAAAACTAGTTTTCTTGTCGGGGGATCGGACCGCCAAGGCTCCCGCCTTGGTCTCCCACCCGATCCACATTGCACCGGACCCATCATGTTCCTCCTGCGGGTGGTGGGTCCACAGTTGGATGAGCCCATGTATCCGGTTCGGGCTAGGCCCGGCCGGGCCCCATGGGCGAAAGCCCGGCCACCAGGCGCTCGCTCACGGGCCCCAACCCCAGGCCTGGCTCCAGGGTGGGACCCCGGTAACCCTCCGGGCCGGGTACTCCGACTCTTTGTCTCACCCTTCACCTAAGACCAATTTGTCATGGGAGACCCTACCAGGGGCACAAAGTGCCCCAGACAACATAGCTCCTAGGATCATTAGGGCACTCAAACTCCTCCACCACGATAAGGTGATGGTTCAAGGAGGAGGTAAGTGGTTTTGTAAAAATCTAAGTGTAAAAAGGAGCAGCCCCCTTGGAGAGACAAAAGTCATCCTTCTAGAAATGCCAATGGGGGACTCACAAAATCACTCTGAGGGCTGGAGTTGGCCCCCGGGCCACACTTTGGACTTGCCAGTTTAGATTAAATGCTGTCTTCATCATATGAAGTTAAAGGGATCTGCAGTGATGCAATATCACCAGTAGAGGGTGCTCCCAAAGCTGTTATGCAAAACAGAGATAGAGTCAGGTGATAGGGGACATGTGGTCCAGGGATGTAGTCATCATGAATAGCTAAATAAAAAGAGATAGCTAACTAAAAAGAGATCTGCCAAAAACAAAAAAATATCATGTATGGATTTTTAATAAGGCTGATGAGGAAGTAGGGAGGGGGAGGGACCCGTCAAAGAGTGAGACAGTCAACAGTGCTGTCAGCTTTTCACTGTCTCACTGCTGTTGTGGTTTTGAGCACAAGGTTGTCAGCCTTCCTGCACCCCCTTGTAGCCCTCAGTGGCCTGGGAGCCTCAAGCAATTGCCTGCCCTACCTCAAAGCATGCAGCACCACTGAATCTCACCACACGTCACTGAAGGCAACAATACCTCTTAGAAATGAATTCTTTGTCTGCTCTCTAGTTTTGCCTTCCCACCATCCTCATGTTATCTTTTAAAATACTGAGATATTAAAAAACATATACATAATGCAGAAGCAGTCACTTCAAGAAATTTCATTTTATGCATTTGTGAAGGGACAGCTTCTTGTCATGGTCTGCGTCTGCGTCTCCCTCATGTGTCTCCTTGTGTGCTCCATCTCCCTCTAAGGATCCCCTTATGTTTCTCTTTGTGTTCCTCATGTGTCCCCTGATCTGCAGCCCTCCAGATTATCCCTCCCAGGTCCTGTGGTCCTTTGGTCTCCCCAGTCACCCCTCTGCAGTTATTCTATAAGGTTCAGCTTTTTATTTAATTAGTCTCTTTAGTGTGTTTCTTTCCCCACTGGTTTTTGTAGTTTTCCTTCCCCCTTAGAATATTAGTTATTTTGCTGCTCTTCTTGTCTTTAGGTTTTTTGCTTTTAGGTCATGCTAGTTTCCTCCCTGATTAGTTAATTGTTTTCACTGGGTTTCTCTCCCCACACACCTGCAGCCTATCTGCCTCTCATCGTACCCCAGTGTATATAACCCTGTCTGTGTCTCTATTTGCAGTTTGGTCGTTGTCTTGTGTCACCCTTGTCTCGTTACCCTCTCTAGATTTTGGTCTTCGTTTTTGGGATACTCTAGGTTTTGTTATTGGGACGTTTTGATTTTTGTTTTTGGCTCCCTGACTTTTTGGATTTATTCTTAATAAAGGATTTTACATTATTTCTCCACTTTGTGTCTTCTGGTTCTCTGCATCTTTGGGTCCTGACCTCCTCCTGGCTCCCAACGTGACACTTCTGTAACAAACGCAATGCCCCAGATGTGACTGTGCCCGGAACGAACGCAGAACAACAGCTACTCTGTCAAGCATGGAGGCTACAAACAATGAGTTCAGTGACACGACAACCCACTGCAGCAGGCCCACTTATTCTACAAACCTTTCCTGTCTGCTCACATATGGATTGTGCATATGTGTCCTCTAAAACACAACTTTATGTTTCTCTCCTTTATGGGTCGAATCTCACCTGCCTGTGCAGCCGGAACAGGAGCAAGGGCAACACCTGGTGGATCAAAAACAGAATTCATTAAAGCAGGGAGGATAGTTTTCATTAATCAGACCACTCTTTCAAGAAAGAGAGCTGACATTCATCAACAAACATCACACATGTCCATTCTTTTTGACTGACAGATGAATGTGTGTATTCTACAGGAACATGTGTTTTATTTAAATATTAGAAGTTTAAGCAGTGACCACGTACCTCCGTTGTATCCACCTGGAGAAGAAGCAGGAGGGATACCCGGTTGAGGAGAGAAACCCGGCTGAGGCGGAAAACCCGGTTGAGGGGTGAATCCCGGCTGAGGATTTAGACCTCCATAATTAACAGGTGGGCCTGGGTAGGGGGGAGCATTGTCCTGGGGTGGGCCTCCTTTTTCCATTTTCAGAAATCCAAGCTGGATAAGAATAAACAGTGCTGTCACATTTTATGAATCTACCTATTTGTGTAAGTGATAAATATATTTTAACACCCTTTTGTATCGTAGAGTAGCAAAGAAATAAAAGTCAACTAAATGTACGAACATCTCTTTAGTGAGTCACTTTGCAGTTAATTTATCGTTGACATCTTTGGTTAAACTGATTCAGAGTAACTGAAGCTGATATTTGTAGAAGAAGGAAGTAAAATAAAGAAGTAAACCTGACTGAACTGACTGACTACAGGAACTGTACTCACACGGCCACATCTGTTCAAATATGTTTCACTGCAGATGCAAACAGACAGATATTCATGTTTAACTTTACACTTATATTAATTAGCATCCTGGTACCTCACTGAGAAAATGAGTGAGTGAATAATTAAACATGCATCACTGTCGTCCTAATTACCAGTTTTCATCAGCTGTCCCCTCTCCGCCCAAGCAGCATCATTTCTATTGCTTGTTTCACTGAGAACGATCTCCTAAAAGCCATTTTGGCTGCTGTTTTACACAGAACACGACCCAAGGGAACGTTGGTGCCTGAGCAACTTTCTCCAACATCCATGAGAAACAATTGCCATGTGAATAATAGAGCTGTCGGACTGACGGTTAATGGAAGATAAAAATAAAAACAACCATACTTATTTTTTGATGCAATATTTTATGGAAATAAAAGACACATAAATAGGAAAGTCAGGAAACCAGGATAACATGAGATCCGTCTAACTAAAGTTATTGCACATCAAATATGAAAACAGTCAAAATGACTGCCTTGGGAGTTCTAGTGCTGTTTATGCTGCTAGCAGGTTGCATCTGCTCTGTTTTACCAAAAGACCAGATTGGTGCAGTCATGTCACTGACTGGGTTATAGAAGATCCCTTTCCTGTGCATTAATAATTATTTAATCAAGTTAGTGCCATCACTGAGCAGAATCGCAGCCACTAATTGATGTGCAGCTTCTGGATGAGCCGTGCTTTACTATGTCGTGGATTTCGCTTCCCTCTCAAATGGATGTTTTAGTAATTTAGATCGTTCTCATAACCTCAGGAAAAGAGCCACACCTTCATTACGAAACATCCATCTAAAACCTGAATTTAGTTTGTTTGGAAAGTAAGCTCATGCATTCTCAGATTGTGCAACTCTATGATCTTCTGTCTTCATCTCAGCCTCCCTTTTGACTTGATTGCTTTCAGGTCAAACAGTAACTTTGACTCAAGCAAGAGATAGTCAACCGTCATCAGTAGGAACTTACGTAAGGAGCATTAAATTATCAACATTTCCTTTCCCAACAATATGTTATTATCTTGTACCACATCATGAATTTTTAGAAGTATTAGGAGCTAAAATGACAGAAAAGGCAGTAAAAAACAAACTTTGGGCCATTTAGTGCTGTAACACAAGGAAGTCATTTATTCTGTAAGTAACCTACTAACTGGGAGCGGCTGGTGGCTATAGAACACTTCACTCAACCACTTATCCTGTTTGTGTCTCACTATAAATTCATTTATAATCATTGATGAAGAAACCTCTGGACCATGTTGTCCTTCGCCTTGTTTCACTGAGAAAACGCAGCTCAAAAACACAACATCAGTTTAATAAATAATAATATATGTTTATATCAGTTAATTCTTATGTGATGAAGGATGTAAAAATGTCATAGACTTACCAGGGACTTTCAACAGTAGCACAGGAGCAGAAGGAGCTGTAACTGTGTTGGTGTATTTCCTTTTTTCTTTTTAAATTTCTTGGTTTTGAGGATTCAAAAAGTCAAGCAAACCCGAATCACAGTGAAAGTCTGTGAGGCTAATAGAAGAGGAGCTGCCTTACATTTCCATCAGAACAACTGATTAGATTTACTGAGTGGTTCCACCCTCTGCTGCTCCCCTCCCTCGTCCCATTTGACTGCTCTACAGCAGATAAGAGGTGACTCACACGTTCCACTCAAAGGCTATTCAAATATTGACTCGTCAATATATTGTGTGTGTGTGTGTGTGTGTGTGTGTGTGTGTGTGTGTGTGTGTGTGTGTGTGTGTGTGTGTGTGTGTGTGTGTGTGTGTGTGTGTGTGTGTGTGTGTGTGTGTGTGTGTGTGTGTGTGTGTGTGTGTGTGGGTGTGTATATACACACCCACACACACATGTGTATGTTTATGTATTTAGCAGACACTTTTGTCCAAAGCGACTTACAAGTGATAATCGGCATGTTGCCCTTGAGGATAACAACAACAATAACAACAACAACAGACATAATCTGTCCAAACATCAGTTTGATTTGTTTTGCATGTTTTGCACCTATTAAAGTACTGAGGACCAGTTTGCTCTAGCCATATTTTTACCCTTAAGTTATATAATATTTGACATAGCTTGTGTAAAAAGACAACAAATGACACTGCCATGGAAGCTAGGTGATTATATATATATATATATATATATATATATATATATATATATATATATATATATATAATTTGCACCTATTGAAGCACTAAGGACCAGTTTGCTTCAGCCATACTTTATCCTCTACATTTGATGTCCCATGGGCTGTCGGAGCACCTGATGTACTCTGGATGATGCGCAACGTACTCTTCTATTATTATATAACTTAAATTTTAACCCTCTCAGGCTCAAAATACGTTTTGATAAAAGGACAAACAACCAAGTCCTTCAGGGGTCCTTCTCAGTTTAAAAATGCTCATGAAATACGTATGTGGAGTAACCAGGTAGGCAGGTTTTAGCTGTTGCATTTCTGCAACGCCTGCCTCCAGAGGGTTAATATGCACTTTTCAGATTTGTAACACCTGTTTTGTAAAATCAGCAGTTACTTACAGATATAAAGTCTCACCAGCAGAACCAGGCATGCCAAATCAATGTTTTTATAGTTTTGTGTCTGAGATGAGTCGCTTTTGTCTTCAGCCTTTTGATGTTTATTAACAGATTTATTACAGCTGTTCAACGGTTACAAAGCTGTTAAGTTAGCAAACATTACATGCTGCAATGATTCCAGATTTCCTCAACTGAACATTCACACCTGTTATTGAATGGAAGAACATCATTGTGTTCCTGTCTTTAAAGATGTTCAATCAAAACATTAAATGAAAACCAACTTCATTTATAAAGCCCTTTAAACAACCACCGTAGAACCAGTGTACCTTCATATAACTGATAAGAAAACAATGATTTTTATGATGTCATTCGATGTGAAGCAAGAATGAAATTGAGAAAATACATATTTTGCAACTTTGTCTACAAAGAGGTAAAAAAACGACTACAGTCAGCATCTTACATTGTGGTAAAGGGAATGTCCAATGAAACTTTTAAATCAGACAGAGACGAAGCCTGATGTCCAGATCATTCCACATTTTAGGAGCTGCACAATCCTTCAGGAGCAGCTGCAGCCTGAGAGAATGGTAACTTTAATTTGACTATAAGTATTCTTGCTTTTGAGTATCTTTAATGACTAATTACAGTTTCTTCACAACACTGGTACTTGAGTCCAAAGATGAAAGTGCAACAGTATCAAGATAAGAGCAAATAAGGTTTTGATTGAAAAGAACCTAGTCTAAGGACAGTGTTACGACAAAGTACTACTGTAAGCCACTACAGCAAGACCTAAGGACACACAGCCTTAAAAGAACCTACTTCTGTAAACTAAAATGTGTGTGAATTTAGTGGGGTTGAGGACCAACGGAACTTTAAGACAGAGAGGAAGTTATCTCTGTCTGGCCCCAAAACAAGTTCTTATCTGAATCAGGTGCCCTTGAACCTGTGAGGCTGAAGTCAGTAGCGGTTTTAGGCACGGGCAGACAGGGCAGTTGCCCGGGGCGGCATTTTTTCATGACATAAAAGGGGCGCACAAGCGCTGAGTAAAAAAAAAAAAAGAAATCTGCGCCGCACCGAGGTTTTCTATTATCTGTCATATGACAGTGTCTGGATTGGAAACGGCAAGTTGGCGCCCCCTGCAGTTGCAGGCGCTCCTGCTGACTGAGAACGTTCACGTGCACCGTGTGTCTATGAAGAACAGGAAGGGGAGGGGTGCGGCGGGGGAATTCACCTCTGCGTCTTTCCCAAATGAAATGAGCGTGCAGGGGCTGAATCAACTGTATTAACATGGCTAAAGTCAATCACATCTTAACGTTCTTCCATATTTCATTCATAATATCATAAACACAGGCCTATCATTCTTTCAGGTTTCTCTGAATTGTGTGAAATGGCAGAATAAAAAAAGGAAAAACAAAACGATTTTGTGGTCCCCCCCCCCCCCCCCCCCCCCCCATCAAGGTCAAATTGTTTAGTCCTGACTAAAGGAAACTTACTGAGTCAGGAGCCAAACAGAAGAGATGCACATAAAAAGGCTAAAACCACCAGGTGCCCCCCATTCAGGGGGAAAAAAAAGAAAAAAAGAGCAGAAAGATAAAGGTATGTAGCTCTCATGATGCATGTTTTCAATTTTTTGAACCAGTTAACTGGGATTTTAACGGTTAAATGTGGTCAACTAATTGCTAACAGAGCTAATAGGGCTGAAATATTTAAACGAATATTCAAATGGTTTGAAAAAATTCCTTGAATCGGTTTTTACTGATTCAAACTAGGATTTGTTAAATGCTCACTGCAGCCCGTGGCCTGCCTGAACAACAACAAACACATGTTGATCATGTTCACATAATAATAAATAAAACAATTCTACAAGCAGAAGAAAACACCCCAGTCACCACTAACTATCCTGTTTATTTATTGCAGATGGCTGCACTGATTATTTTACATGGTTTGTTCTGTAAAAGTTGGCATTTTTGGTAGTCTACAGTTTTTAATGTCAGTTTAAATTACAATTTCAGAGGCAATTCTAAAATATTATGGATCATGAGATCTATTGGAGATCTACCCCAACTTTTGGACTGCTCTGCCAGTCACTGTGGCTCAAGCTGAGAGGAGCTTTTCAAAACTTGATCAAGTCATACCTGAGGTCACCTATGTTTCAGGGGCGGCTCACTAACCTGGCTCTGATTCGTATCAATCACTCAGTAGGGGAACAGATTTCATGTGATGACATTATTGATGATGTTGCATCAAGGTTAGGTTTTAATTTTAGTTTGTGTTTTCTGTTCTAAGTGCAATGCTATAGTGATTATCTTTAGTTTGTTATGTGTGAAATATTTTGCTATTTAGAATATTTATTATCTATTATGTTCATATATTCTTAATATTTAGTTATTGTTTGTTTTTGTATATTTGATTCTATATATTTTGATACAGTATATAATGTAAATTGCTTTACATTCTGACAACTTCATAGTAATTAATGTAAATATGTGCAACTTAGAAAAATGAATGTTCAATAGTCGTTCTAATAAAACATGCCTGTTTGTAGAAAACATGCGTGTGTTCATGCAGGTGGGGTGGTGTGGTGGTGGTGGTGGGGGGGCGGTTTGGGGGGGCGCTCAAAGGGGGCCTCGCCCGGGGAGTAATTCGATGTAGAACCGCCACTGGCTGAAGTAATTACTCCCCCTCAGAAGAAATGTGGAATGCTGCTGTCACCATGGCAACTCTGTCTCCCTATCCCAGCCTGGGCGGGACTGCGACTGGTGAAGGCAGTTGAATCGTTTCCGGGAGTCACTGTGCCCTCTAACCCAACTACCTCCCTCCCCTGTCCAAACGGAGGTGACGAGCGCTGCTTATCGTGGCTGCATGCACTGATGTGTGGAGAGTCCCCAACCCTACCTCCCCACCTAGTGGACACTTATGTTCTGTGATGTCTGAAGTCTGTTGCATTTCTGTCTGAGGTGTTTTTTTGCATAGCAAAGCTGCCCTCCCTGTGGAGGGTAACTCTGAAGTGGCTTTTTTTCCTCCACCTGACTCAATCCTCATATGTAAACCCTCTGATCTCTATTAAGGTAGCGCGACTCAGGTTGCGAATGACCACAGTCACCAATTCTTGTCATGTGTCTATGCCCATGTATGTATGTCTGATCTCTGAATTGTGTGTACTGAAACTCTAATTTCCCTCTGGGATTAATAAAGTATCTTTGAATTGAATTGAGTTGAATTTTGAGCTGCACTGTAGTACTGCTGTAGTTTGGGCTAGTTACACCTCTAATGCAAAAAAAGCTCCTTAATTGTGTTACAAAGGGTTGCAAAAACACACAGAAACACGTTTCATAGAATTCCATCCAGTGTGGAACATTGCCAAGGGAATTGCTCCACTGACACCAGTGGAGTTAAAAGTGTTTTTGGTAATAAATGATTTGGTTTCATGATGCAAAGTTATGGTAATCTTGTACACAAGATTTGTTTGTTTGATAAAAGTTATATTGTTTGTTGCACCGCAATAATCGCGAGGGCTTACTCTTGAAAGAACATGCGAGCGCCATCGTCCGAGCTATCCGCAGGAGCCTTGTCTACCAGTTTCTAAGGTCATTCGTTTTACTGGCTTTGGATCATTGTTTATGATGGATGGTGTTTAAATTATTTCAAATGTTAATTTAGAATGCACCCAGGAAAAGCCGGTGTTAATAAAGCATATTAATGTTCACTCAAATGATCAATTATTCTTATTTATGCAAGACATAAATATAAAATACAATAAAAAAAGTATACAATTAATGAGTAAAGAAGTAATCAGAATTTTAAAAAATACGTGTTTCTGCTTTTCACCATTAAAAAAAAAGTTTTTATTTCCATAGATTTTTGTGAACACAGCAACAGGTGGATTAAACTAAAAATAAATACATTTTAAAATAACATTTTAAATAACTGAAATGTACTTTTCTGAAATGTTTGTGTTTGTAAGATTTGACTTAAGTGTTTTGGATACATTTACAACCCTGCGTCTAAGACCTCTGAGGTGGCACGTGGCCATGAGGTAATTTTTGTA